CTTGGGAAAAAAGAAATATATAATTCGTTGTTTACTAGTCATCTTTGGTTTTAGATCTTTTCCTACCCACCCATTAAACAATTATACTAGTTATTTTAACTGTTACTTAAATTATTTAAAATTTACTTTGTAAACTGTCTTTGTTAAAAGAAGCCTTTTAGATCTTAAATTTATTTCTATTTGGGGATTACGTTGGCAGTGCTGAGAAAATAGGCATTACCCCTATTTTAATTTTTTTAAGTGTAATGATAGGATTTATCTACTTTCAAATTGTTTTTGCCAATCTGCTCATTTAGAATGTAGTAGAATAAGAAAACCCCTTCTTGACCACATATGCTTAACCACATGTATGCTGTCAAGATGTTCAGCTTCTCTGGGCCTCTCACCTTAAAATGGCAGTGATGATAAATGTGTCCGATCCATTGAATTCCAGGGCAGTAATAGAGATGGAAACGCTGTACACTTGTAAGGTATTTATATTATTAAAATATCATAATACATAAAACAGACTCGTATTCTTAATTACCCTGCCAAAAACTCAGTATGTGCCCTGGGCAAGTAAGTATTTACAAAGTTAATTTTATTGTTTTGCCGTTTCGATGTGCAGAATTCAGCTCTTCCATTTATGCATGTCCTGTGCTTTACCAAAGAATGGAGCTTTTGCTTTAACTTTTAAAATATCTTTTATTAGTCTAAATTTTTATTTTTCTTGACTTTTAAACCATGAGAATAATGCTGCTTTCAAATATACCCTTAGAATTTTTGTAATGATGCTTGAATGTCCTCTCTTAAATATTTTATTTATACATCATCAAATTCTTAAAATACGTGAAAATTTGATGTCAGGGGAAATTAATTAGATTTGTGTTTAGAGCATTAGGTAAAATTATTTTCATTTATTCTGTCATTTGGTGAATTCTTTTCTTATTGTATCTAGTTGATTTATATTATCCCTCTCAAGTTCTTTTAATCATGATTCTAAATATTCATCTCTAAGATACCCAATTTACTTTAGCTCTCTGTGCCCTGTACTCTCGATAGTAGATCATTGTAGTTTTTTCTGCTTTGACCATTATTCTTTTTACATTTACTTGTACAATAAAAAAACAATTTAACAGGTTTTTTCTTATACATGGTCTTAGTGTCCTGAAGATCATGTTATTAATAGGCATTTTAAAGATATTTCAAGATTTTTAATAATGAACTCTTCAAACCAAATGATGCTTTCTTCCTGATACTCATTCTCCTCCAGCAAACCTATATTTAGCTTCCCTTGCATGCTTTTGAAATCTGAAGAGCACAGAGTTATTGCCACATTTCAGCAATCTTTGGGAGAGATAAATTGTCAGGGATTGCAGGTAACAAGCCCAATTGCACAAGCATGTGCAGTGTGGGCATGTGAGGTGCTCTCATCGGGAGACTGCCGTTCTTTGTGATGTCCCACATGCACTCTCTCCAAGAGAGAACTGAGTTTGTCTCTTCCATGTTAAGCTTACTGACATTTTGGTTACAAATAGTAGCTCTAATACCCATTTCTCTCAGTAGGCAAGTTAAATTTAAAAAGTTAAATTTAGGAAAGAAATGGGGAGTCATTCAGCATCGCAAAATGCCACTTATATAGGTAATACTATTTTTTTTGTTGTTTCTGCATTTATTTTGTCTGTAAATGTGCTTAGAACTAATAAATTTGCAACTGGTAAAAATTAATGCATGACTTGTCAGCAGAATATGGAATGTAAGCATGTGCCATGAAATTGCAATTCTTCTATTCTTCTTCTATTATTTTCCATAATTTATATGCTGGTTCCACTTAGAGTGTAGTCCATTCTTATTTTTTGTTTCATAGATTGACCAAAATGGGAAGGACTGGATTCCGCTCTCTTCCACGAAGAGTCAGTGGGACTGGCTAAGATCAAGGTCTGAGGCTTTTTTCCATCTGGCATCAGGTATGCATTGAACAAAAATTCCTACAGTTCTGTGCATGTACTTTTAAAGTAATTGGTTGATATGCATATTATGAATGTAGACTTTTATTTGATATTGAGCTTACAGCCTTGTATTTATTCTGAAGTTTTAAATGAATCAATAACTTATTTGAGTTTTGTAATATATTGAGATAAAAAGATGTTATTAGCCATGAAAAAATTTCAGCTGGTCTTAGAAAAGTGTAATATTTGAAATCTGCAGTTCTTCATTGCTCAGTATGTACATCCAAAGATAATAATTCGTTACTCCATGTTGAGTATTGCTAATTTTAATATAATCAAATGCTTATATATTGTTTAATAGCGTACTTTGTATAATTTTTCCAATAACTTAGAAGTTCTCAACTGGAATTTTATGCCCATTATGTTTGGATCTCATAACACACTGACAGATATGACCAGTCTTTGAAATATTTTCAGATATTAGTTATATAACAGGGATTTAGATTATTTGCATTGTGTGTTGATTTTACAATTGAAAAATGTATTAGCTTGTTTCCTACGATGTTCTAAACAAGTGCATAAAAGCATCATGATAGGAAATCAAATAGTCAAAATTGTTCTTTTTTCCTGCTTGGGAGAGTGCTTTATACCAATTTACAGTGTCATTACTAGTTACAGAAGAATAACTTTAAATATTTCTGAGAGAGGCAGAGAATGTCTCCTGAATACGAATATATAGAAAAAGAACAAGTCCTTGAGATTCCAAACCTGATCTTAAATCAGAGGGCACATACTGCATTACCATTAGTAACATCAGTTGCATTATTGTGTTCTTGTCAAACTGCAGTGGAGACTTAAACAATCTGAACAACATAAAGAAAGGCTTCCTTGCCTGTGTCTACCTACTGATGAAGAAAGGATGCATGAACCAAATACTGATGAACTTACCCACATGCTTTACATTTTAATCACAAGTAATTAATTACTCTATTTTGCCTGTTTAGTGACACCTCTACATTAAAATACAATAGGTCTATTGTAATATACACTCTATTTTACAAATATGCAGTTTAAATTTAGAGCCCTTGCAAAAATATTACTGGAATCTGTGAAGGTCAGTATCATACCTCTAGCTTGTGAAGACAAGTGTCATCTCATGCAAAAGACAAGTGATGTGAGGAAATTGATTTTTTTTTTTTTTTGGAATATGTAATAAGATTTTAAAAATCCGATTAGTAGTTAACAGCAGCCATTTAGCCAGATTCAATTTTCAATTTAAAAATCAGATCATTTTAAAAGAGATTATAGTTGTTATTCCTGTCTCTCTCTTTTTTAATTTCTTTATTATCGAAAATATTTCAGATGTCCTATTTTTCCCCATTGACCCCTTTTCACCCCATTTCCATTCCCCTCGCCCCCCACCCACAGTCTTCACTTCATCATTTCTATGTCTCTTAACAGTATATTGCTAGACTAGCATTCATAAACTTTGAAGAATCATTGAATTCTTTTATGCCAATTGAATCTTTAGGGGTTGGTTTCTTACTCTGAGAAATACAGTTGAAAATATTTACTCTTGTCCACAAATTTCCAAAGGTTTCAGTTAGTTTTAAAATTTTTGCTTAAGTAAACATACTCTTTGTCATAAAATTTGTTCTTTTCATTCTTTCTCAAAGCACAGATAATGAATTGGAACTCTGACACATGTTTTTACAACCTGAAACACCTCCATAATGATGTATCCTTGCACAGGTATTGTGCTCTAAGCCAAAAGTCCCTGTGTGCTGCACACTGGTTACAAGTGTGTCAAAGACTGACCCCTCTGCTCTTGGGGGAAGCCTGATGACTCTGGTTCAGTCTGCCCAATGAATAGAATCATTTTCTATGATGTGAAAAACGAAAAACAGGAAAATCACTTCAACTGAATCCTTCTTTTCTCCAAATGACAAGGAGCCATGGTCCTCACCTAATATGGTCCTCACCTAATATAACATCAAAAGGCTTTTCCTTGGGGAAGGTGGGGACAAAGGGAGATCAACCAAAGGACTTGTATGCATGCATATAAGCATAACCAATGGACACAGATACCAATTAAGTGCAAAAACAAAACAAAACAAAACAAAAAAAAAAAAAAAAACTTCCATGTCAAGAATGCATATTTGTTATGAAGATAAGTCATTTCTACTCTTGACTCAGAAATTCCTCTGCGTGTGATGACACTGGTATAAAGAGTAAATTTTCACTTTGGGTGATGCATTCAACTCTTTCTGGCCTCTGGTGTCTGTGGATTATGTACATCTTCCATGGACTAAATGGTTCACAAGGTGCCTAAAAGAGTTTTCAGTTGCTTATTTATATTTTATTTTCCTGTAATAAAGAATGTGACTAGAGCCAACTTGTAAAAATTAAAATAATTTTGACATTAAAATATTTGTGGAAACATTTTTATGTTCTCAGTCAGATTTATGTTCTCTAGTACCTTGTAAAATTTGAAGCTTAATAAAGCTACTTTTAGTGTCATGTTTTTTTTTGTTGTTGTTGTTTTTCCATAATTCACAGTTCTGTTTATTCTGTGATGGCATAAAAGTCACAAACAAGACACTAAAAACAAGGAAAGCCATAAACACCACCAATGGAGAGATCTCATTGGGAAAAGACTGAAGTGCCTTGTAGATTAGTGTCATGTTTTGATGCTTCCTCAGAGCTTCTGAAATCGTGACTGCTTTCCCTCAGTACAACGTTTGTCAGGTGGAATTTCAAAAGATCTATGAACTGTTCATTCTGAGCAATGCATTAATGTGTATTTTGACAAGTATAAAGAAACCCACAGATATTACATTTGACCAGCTGAATCCATTTTATGGTTTCTTTTTTAATTCAAAAGCATCACATAGCAAATAAAACTTTTTAATTAAATTTAGTTACAAACTAGTTGTTTCTTATTTTTTTTTCCAGTCCCCTTTTGCTTTCTTTTACGACCACATGAAACTTGAGAAGCCACCTAAAGCTAAATCATTTAGTGGAGTTGGGCAGTTCCCAAGTGTCCAACAAGAAGGCCTGGTTTAGGCTGCGATGGCCACTGTCATTCCTGGTGATTTGTCAGACGTAAGAGATACCCAGAAAGTCCCTTCAGGGAAACGTAAGCGTGGTGAAACCAAACCAAGAAAAAACTTTCCTTGCCAACTGTGTGACAAGGCCTTTAACAGTGTTGAGAAATTAAAGGTTCACTCGTACTCTCACACAGGAGAGAGGCCCTACAAGTGCACACAACAAGACTGCACCAAGGCCTTTGTTTCTAAGTACAAATTACAAAGGTATTAAACTCTATTTGTCTTTCAGATTATAATTGCTATGATGTTGGCCGTGTGAAGCCAGTGTAAACGTATATATTTGTATACACATTTTTTAGCTGATTTGCAGAGAGGAAATGTTAAGTAGATTAGATGTGTTGGCTAGTTTTAGTATTCAAAATCACATATTTTTATGTGTTAGTGTCTTTGGATTTTTTAAAAGTGAAATGCTTAATGAGAATAGAATTTCCGTTTGTACAATGAAATTACAAGAAAAGATCTGGACGTTTACGTGAGTATATTCAGCCTTATTCATTTACTTTTGTAATAATAGCTAAACACCAGCCAGTGAAAAACTAAAGTGGCAACTTAAATGACTCAAGTTTTGCAGTGTTTAGGTATATTAACTATCCTTGTAGTACATATTAGGTTTAAAAGTGTCCATTATTAGAGAAATTCTGTGTTAGCATAGCAGTTTAGCTTCCATTTGAAAAGTGAATATGTACCATTTTTTGTCATGATACTTACAGAATATGTCTGTGTTTAAAGGCACATGGCTACTCATTCTCCTGAGAAAACCCACAAGTGTAATTATTGTGAGAAAATGTTTCACCGCAAAGATCACCTGAAGAATCACCTACATACACATGACCCTAACAAAGAGACATTTAAGTGTGAAGAGTGTGGGAAGAACTACAACACCAAGCTTGGATTCAAACGTCACTTGGCCTTGCATGCTGCAACAAGTGGTGACCTCACTTGCAAGGTTTGTTTGCAGACTTTTGAAAGCACAGGAGTGCTGCTGGAGCACCTTAAATCTCATGCAGGCAAGTCGTCTGGCGGGATTAAAGAAAAAAAGCACCAGTGCGAGCATTGTGACCGCCGGTTCTACACCCGGAAAGATGTCCGGAGACACATGGTGGTGCACACCGGAAGAAAGGACTTCCTCTGTCAGTATTGTGCCCAGAGATTTGGCCGAAAGGATCACCTGACTCGACATATGAAGAAGAGTCACAATCAAGAACTTCTGAAGGTCAAAACAGAACCAGTGGATTTTCTAGATCCATTTACCTGTAATGTTTCTGTGCCTATAAAAGATGAGCTCCTTCCGGTGATGTCCTTACCTTCCAGTGAACTGTTATCAAAGCCATTCACAAACACTTTGCAGTTAAACCTCTATAACACTCCATTTCAGTCCATGCAGAGCTCGGGATCTGCCCACCAAATGATCACAACTTTACCTTTGGGAATGACATGCCCCATAGATATGGATGCTGTCCATCCTTCTCACCACCTTTCCTTCAAATACCCATTCAGTTCTACCTCATATGCAATTTCTATTCCTGAAAAAGAACAGCCATTAAAGGGGGAAATAGAGAGTTATGTGATGGAGCTGCCAGGTGGCATACCCTCTTCATCCCAGGATTCTCAAGCATCATCATCTAAGCTAGGGTTAGATTCTCAGAGTGGGTCCCTTGAGGAGGGTGCAGGGGACCTCCCCCTGTCAAAAAGCTCTATTTCCATCAGTGACCCCCTAAACACACCAGCATTGGATTTTTCTCAGTTGTTTAATTTCATACCATTAAATGGCCCTCCCTATAATCCCATATCGGTGGGGAGCCTCGGAATGAGCTATTCCCAAGAAGAAGCACATTCTTCTATGTCTCAGCTCCCCTCACAGACACAGGATCTTCAGGATCCCGCAAACACTATAGGCCTTGGGTCTCTGCACTCCCTGTCGGCAGCTTTCACCAGTAGTTTGAGCACAAGCACCACCCTACCACGTTTCCATCAGGCTTTTCAGTAGGGCTCCAAGACGTGGATTTATCACAGAAACGTATGTGTAGCCCTGCCTCATGACCGTTTTTATTTTAGTGCCTACTTTTTAGACAGTATAAAAGTTTCTGCTTTTGTATAGTACCAGTTTTTATTAAGCCAGTATAAAATAGAAACTAGCTTTGGAACCATTGGTGTCCAGTTATGTTTACCTGGGTATTTCATCCTAATTCACTGCCAATTGTCATACTTTAAGGTTATTTTTCATCTAGGAAAGCCATTATTCGTAGTGAAGTCTTACAAGTCTCACATTCAAATTACTTTTTCATCTTAGAATTTTTGTTTTTGTCCATTACTAATGGCTCTGCCTTTTGACATTTGGCTCATTAAAAAGTTTTGCAAGAAAATGTAAATTTTCTAAAATATATATGATTAACCCAAGAGTTTTTTTTTTAAATCTTTACTAGCTTCTAAATGGATTCATAAATGTTTGAAATGAATTAAGAATCCAGTTTGGGGAGATAACTAGTATTTCTTAGATAAAACAATAATTTCAGTTCAGTATATTTTGAAGACTTGCTATTGTCTGGCTCAAATATTTGCTGTCTTTATTGTGCAAATATAAAGAAACAAAACCTAAACACAAAGCCCCAGAATTTATAGCAGAAAGAGATTCCTATTAAGGTGACACAGCATTCCATGTTACTTAATAGTTGGCCTTATATTAGTACACAGGATATTTTGCCACGTTTTAAACTGCTTCACTTGCTGTCTTTCCATTTAATAATACTAATATATATGGCATCGGAGTCCTCAAAGTCAGTATAGAGACAGCTCTCTTTGACATTTTCCACCTTTCAAGGCCAGAGGGTGGGTCAAGTGCAGCCACATTTTTATTTTCATTGTTAGTCCACAGTCCAGAATCCAGAACCACTGTGGAACACATGTATTTACCCCCAGATGGACTGTCCCAGCTTAGATGGTGTGATAAACATCCTAAGCAGGAAGATAGGTGTAAAGCATACTGTTCAACATAGGGACTTGTCTAGGGGTCATGCCCCCCGTTGCCAGAGTCAGAAACTAGACTGTTTAGGAGTTAAGTAAAAGCCTATTGCTTATATCACTTGTAGCTAAATGTGATTACATTTTCTTTCCCTTAAGAGCCAAAAGCAAAAACAACACTTTTGCCCTAGGATATCTTTCCTATTCAGTGTTAATTCATCTTTTCTTGCTATTTTCAGATAGAGAATTTAAAGTGAAATGCATTAGAAAACTATTTGAAGAATGATCACAAAGTTTTAAGCAACTAAAAATATATACAGTAAAACCCACTTTTACACAACTCTGGGAAATGCGGGGAATGTAAATAAGTTGGATTTTTAGAGGGAGAAAAAGTAAAGTAAGACAAGCACTATCTTAGTTAATGTGAAAATAATCAAAAATATTCTGTTCACTGAATAAAGTCATTATGGGCTTTCCTCATGTTAGACAACAACCATAATCTTCTGAAAGGTCAAATTATATTTTTTTAATTGTCAGTAGGAACATCAACCTAAAAACATATCTATTAAGCACTTGTTAACACCTTATATGGGAGCCTGTCCGTTGGGGCAGGGTGGGAGGGAGGGATGGGAGATTAGAGAAGAGTATATTATCTCTCTAAAAAAGAAAAAGAAAAAAATTTTTGAGCACTCAGCCCTATATGGAAGCTTCTTTTCCTTCTTATAGGGCCAATTATCACTGCAGATTGCAATGTTTACCAAGAATTTCTAAAAATGAGTGCAGATTACTGAATATACTGCATTATTTAAAATATTTGGGAGTAGTATAATTTGTGGAGGAATGTAAATTGTAATAATGTAAATGGGGGTTTCACTATATTATATCTATACATACAAACACACACACACATTTATCGCACTTCATAGAATCAAAGTTGCTCTCTTAAGGAACTTTGGCTCCTGATATTTTATCATGCTCCTATTTTTTTAGTCCTAGGAGCTGTAGTTTTATACTTATGTATTTAAATTTTATTATTAAAAATTACATTTTATAAAAGTGTTCCAAAGGCATTAAGATTATATATGTTAATAAGGAAATGCATTTAAAAGTTTTTTCAAACTGCTCCTAAGCTTTTGGTTAGGAGACTATTTGCTCTGAAAGTAGGCTTTTAGCTCTGCTTTATTACTGCTTCCTTTAGTTTCTATGAAACAGATTGCTTACCTAAATCATTAGTTGAATGATTAGTGTTCAATATTGCTTTAATGACCATTTTTAAAAATGGAAAAAGAAATTTGGTGACAGAGCACAAATAAATAGAAAAACTATTTTTAAATAGAAATCACAAATACAAGTGTGGAAACACTACTTTAAAATTTGCTAAAGAAGAAATCAAGTTGATGAACTGAGACATTGGCCTTAGTAGGCTGTATTTCACTGCTAATAAAAAAGGGAGTACCAGGATTTATTAAATAAAGCATTTTAGAAATGGGAAAGGCACTATATATATATATATATATATATATATATATATATATATATATATGCCTCATTCTCGCCCTGTATGGATTTCAGATACATGGAGGCACATCTTTCAGGGCACCAGTATTAAAAGTATAGAGTCTTAATTTTCAAACATACATACATCTCTTTGCCTGTTGCTGCCCCCACAGACTTAAAATATCACTTTCAACTAAGAGGGAATTCAGCTAATTTTTTTTTAATTGACTGTAGTGGTCACTAAACCATTTTGGAGAGAATTTCTATTAAAGATGAGGCAAACTCATTTATTTTCATTGCACAATGGTCTGTCAAGTATGCAACACAGAATTGGCTCTCTTTTTTTCCTAGAAAAAAAAAGTTGACATCTGTTTTTATGTCAATTGGATATAATTAAAAATAATTATTGCCAATGCTGTTTTTATTCTCCAGTGGCCAGAATCATCATCCTTGAAATTTCTAGTAGTGCCTTTGCCTGGTTAAGTAAAAATTAAAAAGTGATTATCATTAAGTAAAAATGTTTCAGTTTAGAATGTGGACCTCAGACAAGATATTGAACCTCATTCAGTTTGAACTTCCACATGCGTGAGAAAATTAGATCACCAGACATGGAAGCATGACTGTGGAAGGATCATGGCACAGTAAGCAATTACTATTCATTGATATATGCAAATGTCATCTTTATACTTATTGGTCACTGTTAAGATTTGCATTTTTAAATCCCATCACCAAGTTCAGTTTTTCAAAACTTCAGTTGTCCTGGCTGATCATGCATCACTCTTTGTGTAGCTTTTAAATTTCATTTAATATTTCTTCCATACTACGTATTTTTGCCTATTTGTTGCTTGTGCTTTATTATTCTTAGTCATTTGTGTTAATTTGGACAGTAGCGGTTTTTAAAAACCATATACTGACTGAAACATGAGCCAGAGCTGATTGCTTTTTTAAGCTAATAATGAATGTTTGAAGAGTACATATTTTCAGGATCATTCATCTAGTGAGCAATACACATATATAGGCCAATATTTTTTTTAATAAAAATATAGCTTGGTCAACCTCTATACTACACATATTACAAGATATAGCACTTTCAAACAATCTAAGCCTTTATAGAAACTTTCTTATAGGTTATGCCTTTTATTTTAAGACTTATATGATTTGTTTCAAGTGCCATTAGATGATATATATGTAGAACTTTGATATATAATGCTTTGTGTTCAAAAATGGTAGACGATATTTTAAACAGGTACATTTTTACAGTGTTTTCTTATCAATTTGCTATATTGCACAGAATCAGTGTGTGTCTTTTCATAAGGTTTTACAATGGTTTATTTTTTTACAAGGTTTACGTGTCTCAAAACACACTGTCTTCCCAGTATGTAGATGTAAAAATACCAGTTCACCCAAGTTGCTTCTAGCCTACTGAGATCCATGTGACATTGGAGGAGATCATTTCAATGTTGAGTATTCTTCATTAGTAATGGCAGACTGTTATCTCTGACAAATGAGTGGCTAAGTTGACTTAGTCTGATTTTTCTCATTGTGTCAGTAGTCATGTCAACAACACGGGTTGTTTGTTATGATTACATAGATCACATAAGTAGTCTTGGGTAGCTTTGTGCTAAAAACCCATAAAAGCTACTTTCAGATCATATAAAGCAACTTAATACTATTATACCAACAAAAAGGCACTCAAAGATCACCCTTATTCCCTCCTGCATCATCAACCCTCTGAGGATGGAAGGCAGTGTCTTTTGATAAGCTACCTAGCTTAGAAATAACAGAACTATTGCTAATGTATAACACACTTCATTATATAAGCTTCAGTGGTACAGATGAACCAGAGTGAATGTTTATCTTCTCAGAAACACTCCTTCAATGATGTTGGATCATGCTGCTAATGTAACTTGGGATACAACTCTCCATGGTGCTACAAACGTCTCTGTCTCATTCAGTCGTAATTTTTTTTTTTTATTCCATAGGAAAAAAAGGACTTCATTGGGTGTAAAGGTGTACAATATATTTTTATACTGTGACTTGATCTGTCATTAACAAACTTTTACACCACCCACCACAATGTATTCATGTGCACTTGCAAAAGAAAATCTTGGACACGCAAATGTTACCAGAACAAACCCAGCTTTGTCCACAAGATGACTGTAATTCATAAAGAAAAGTGGGCTTTATAATATGGTATAGAGTGAAGAACATGCTGTGTGTTACTAATGGCCCTTTGAATTTAACAAAAACTGGGAATCCATTAGGAAATGGATTGCATCTTGCCTGAACGTAAGCTGGACTGCTGAAATTGTATTTTTTAGCTGATGAAAAAGTGTTTGAACTAATATTTTTTAAAATGTTTTAATGATAAAGTTTTGAGTCAAAATAGAGAAGAAAAAAATCTGCATTCCAGGCTGAATTTTGTATATTTTTATTGCATTTAAAATGGCTATTCTGTGATATTGGGAAATCAAGTGGCTTATCATGTATATCATGTACTTAAAAATGTATTCACAAACTACTGTTGTATTT